CTCCTATGTACAAGTCTCCACTCCTGCGAGTTTAGTGCCTTGAGTTTATGGAGCATAATGCGGCCTGTGAAGTCCCACGCTATAGTATTGTGGTATTACATTTACAGGCATTTATTTAAACTAACACTTGAAGCGTTTGAGTGGGAGCAGGAAGCGAAATTCAAGGGCATTTGTTCTGGGGGAGTTTGAAGAGCTGCATTTCTTTTTTCTTTTTTTTTTTTCTTCCTTCTCCCTCTTGGTGTCTGGCCAGATAATTTAAGGATCATTTGAAGTGCCATTTCCTGCTGGGTTCTTGATATGTATGGTGTGTGGGTGTCTGTATTTATATCCCAAGAGGAGTAGGAAATTTCTCAGGGTGTGCTGGCCACAGCAGAGCTCTGGGACATCCTCACAGAGCAGAGAGTTTGCAGAGGAATGGTGGTGAATTCCCTGCTCCCAGCTGTCCCAGCCGGCTCTGCGGTCCAGGTTAGCATTCCAGGTAGAGAGTCTGTGCGAATGGATCTTAGGTGACCACCTCATACAGTTCCCTCCGTTCACAGATGAGAAACTGAAAGACAGAGATGGGAGGTGACTTGTCCTCAGTGAGATCCATGGAGATGGCAGTAGATCCTGGGTCCTGCCCATGGCTCTGTGCGACCCCGCCCGGCACGCTCCGCTGCATCCTGGCACCTGCTGAGTTATTACCAGCAACTCTCCCATTTAGCCGCGTCCTGGGAACAAGTTTTCTTTGTTCCCAAATCAACGTCATTCACTTACTATGTCGTTGGGGAGCCAAAACCGCAGGCAGGAGAAGCAACAGTCTGGGGGTACATTCTAGGGCCCCAGCCTTTGGCCATCCAACTTGACAAACAGAAGTTTTGATCTCTCCTTTCGGGAGCTTCTTTGCTTTGTGACTTGAAAGGTTTCCTCTTCAGTTAGCACAGGAGCTGGCTACAGTCTCACCTCTGGATGCGGTCAGCACCATCTGGCTGCTTCTAAAATCACCCAGCAAGGATGTCTGGCTCACAATAAATCTTTTGACTCATTATAGAGAGGGTTTGCTCATTCATTAAATGAATTAGGATTAGAGAGGCATCACCCACTGACTTGAGTGCTAATTATTGCTGATTTTCATGGTGCTCATTTAGTGAGGAGCATGTTGCCAATTTCTCTTTGGTGCTCCTGGGATCTCAGCCTCCACCCTTGCTGCTGGGGTGAGATTTAGAAGTGGTCCCTTCACACCCTAATACCTGTATTCCACTCGCATTGTGGGACCTGATAGTTTATGACTCAGCCCACTTTCTGCAGTTTATCTCCTGCCACCCCTTTTCTTGCCTTTGTTCATGGTCTGGAATTATTGAAACTGCCTGTGTATCTTAAAAAACTTTTTTTTTTTTTTAGAACAGGGGCCATGTTCGAGTTACCAATTGCTGTAAGAATGCTGTGTAACAAACAGCCACAAAAACCTCCGCAGCAGACAATAGCTGTTTATTTCACGTGTCTAGAGTCCACGGGGAGTGGTTCTCCTGACGGTGGCTGGGCTTGCTTGCACATTTTGGGGTTGACTAGCTGTCAGCGAGGCAGGCCTCAGCTGGGGCAACTGAGGGGACTTGGCCATGCTCCACGCGTCTCACCCTCCAGCGGGCTAGCCTGGGCATGCCCTTCTCAAGGGGATGGCGGAGGTGCAAGAGAGAACAAGCCGAAACAGGCACACCCTCTGCAGGCTGGGAATACCATTCTCTCCACCGCAGTTTATTGACCATAACAAGTCAAGTTCAGATACACGGGATAAGGAGGTCGACTCTGCTTCTTTGGGGAGAGGAGCTGCAAAATTACAGGGTAAAGCAACCCCCCCACCAGGGACCTATATAATTTGCCTCTTCTTTGTACTTAGGCTGAAGCTCTGCAAACAGTGAGTGCCTAATAAATATCTGATGCATGAAATTAATAAGTAAAGTTACCATTACCTAGGTTTTCTAATCAAGATTGAATTGGCCGAGTGATGCACACATTAGCTGGTGTATCTGTCGAAGGGTCCTGGTGGAATCCGAATTTTTCCTGCATTGGTTGCCAAGAAGTCCCTCTTGTCTTCTTTCCCATCGTTCTTTCCCATCATCATTCTCAGGATTGTAGACTGTAAACATCCAAGAGACAGGGAACAAAGGGGCGAACAACTGCCAGACTGAAGTGCATCTCTTGCCCCCGGGAGAGAAATTTGTTTCCTGTATCGAGCGCCGAGTGTATGCAAAGAGGAGGACGCAGCTCTGCCCAGTATCTTTGACCTTCGCTCTTGTTTCTCATCCCTCCAGTAGCACCCAGAAAGTGGTCCACGGGCCCGGCGCCGCGTGAGCGCTGCCCGGGAGCTGGTTGGAAATGCAAATGCACTGAATCAGATGCTCTGGGGGTCTGTGTTTTCACAAGCCCTCCAGGTAATTCTGAGGTGGATGGAGTTCAAGAAACCCTGCCCCCAACCCCGGGCCATCGAGCTAACATTATAGCTCCCGCTGTTGACCGTCGGATGTGAAGTGTGCATGGTGCATGCCTTGGACAATGTGACAGAAATAAATGTTCAGGGCACCCTGGTGTTCAGACCACGTTGGCTGTCCTCAGCCATCTCACATCCAAGTTACTTTCTCCTGTTTTGTCGTTCGCTTAGATGCACCACCTAGACTGTCAGGGCTGCGTTTCCAACCTGCATTACTTTGTCAGAAGGCACATCTCCAGGTCGAACAAGTTTCTTCTCAAAACAGACTGGGCATGTGCCAGGATGTGGAACAAATATGCTGAGGTCCAGATACCTCCTCTCCTCACTTTTGATCCCCGGGACCATGAGGCTGGTGGGCCCCCATCTTTAGTAAAAAGAAACCTGTAAGGCAGGGGAGGGCACTGTCAACCCAAAAGAAATCTCCTTGAGAAGGAGAGTGGTATTCCTTGAGGATGCATTTCACAAGGGTTAAGGGTTAGTGACCTGAGGTCGGGGGAACCTGTGTTCAGCCCCACACGGCCCCGTGTTCGTCCAGCACCTGAAATGCCTGGTCTGCATGCTGAAGTGGTGGCTGCACAGCCAGCTGATCTACCTGGGTTTCGCGTGTGTGTGTGTGTGTGTGTGTGTGTTTGTGTGTTTATGTGTGTATCTGTGTGTGTGTTTATGTGTGTCTCTCTGTGTGTGTCTGTGTGTGTGGGGTGCAGGGGCCCACAGACAGACAGACAAACGAAGACGTCAGACACACAAAAGTATCAGCTTGCAGGCTCCTGGATTGGATACCAGTTACCTTGACTGTGCCCCTCATTTCCCCGGGACGGAGGAGACACAGACAAGCCACTTCTGTTTGATTCACATAGAACCGTGAGAACAGCCCGTATGTGAGGCCGTGCTTTTCATTCTATTCAGTCAGTCTTTGTGTATTCAAATTCTTCCCATTTCAGCTCTTGCTGTTCTGCCAGATTTCCATCGCATTGATGGCTTCTCTGAATTAATGTGTTTCGCAATCGCTGAAAAGTTTTCTCTCCCCCAAGCACCGGGGCTTATCCAGATTGATTTTAACCCCCTTTCTCTTTCCTCTCTAGCTATTTCTTAGATGTTTTATTTTGTAAAGTGTTAATGGAATTCTTCTCTCGCCCTGACACTTTATCTATTCGGGGGTCTTTGCCGGTCCCATTGTACAGCTGGACTACAGAGGAAAGAGCGCTATTTGTTCCAACAATGGTTGCCCTAAAAAATGTACACGGCTCCTCCCCCTCGCTCACCAGGCTGAGCGAACGTTGGAGGGCAGTGTTAGAAAATGCCCAGACTTAGAAAAAGAGGGAGCCAGTTACGTACTGATGAAAAGGGGGGTTGAAAATATATTATTGTAAAAATTCAAAATATTTATTTCCTAAGGGGATCTGAGTTTCAGCACCAAAATATGGCCAACATAGAAGGAAGGCTGTTTTTCTTACTGTTAGACATTTTTAGCTCAAAATAAGGACTTGGCAAACATTTAGTAAATACGGAGAAGGGTGGGAAACAGATGTCACGTTTACCTGCGCGATACCCAGCAGGCCTCCCCCCCACCCACCCGCACCCCAGGCTTTGGAATTCTAATGGAGGCCCAGGGTCTGAATCTGCAACACCATATGCTCAAGTGCGACTACTCTGTGTACAAACAAACCAGTTGGTCTTCTGGTGGTTTTGCCTGAGTGGTGCTCGGGAGGCAGACGCTGTGTTGTGTGTGGCCTCAGCAGGCGCCCGGGAGGCTTATCGAGCCTCTGGCCCAGGAGAGGTCTGCTGCAGGCGCCCCGTCTCCAACTAGCATCTCCTACCCCCATCAGCCTGATGCCCAGAGAGAGAGGGCGGCTCCCTGCTGGAGGAGCACTCACCATGCAAGGCCATTTTCCTCCCAGTGACTGACTTCAGAAATGGGGACCAGAAGGAGAAGGCCCCAGGAGCCTGTTTGTGCAGGCTCGGTTGCTTAGCAACAAAACGGGGCCCTGACTCCAGAAGAGAGTTTTAAGTGAGGCCAGTCCCTCCGAGGTTTGAGTCTGGCTTGCCTACCCCCCTCTTCCATTCTTACCCTGACTTTGCCTTTCCCCCTGTTATATTTGATAGCGTCTGGAAAAATGGATTTGATTTGTCTGGAGGCACCATTTTAAACCTGGTGTTATTGCTTTATCCAGTGTCTTCCCCCCCATCGGAGACTGTGGTCTGGGAGGAGTGAGGAATGAATAACCTATGATTTCTTTTCTCAGCCAGCTGAGCTCAGGCCCCCAGCCCATTTGTGAGCCTTTGAGCTCCTGCGAACAGTGCTCAGGCCTTTCTAGCCACAAGCACACACGGAAGTCGCTCCAGGCTGAGCCTGCTGCCCAGCACGTGGTTGTGCTAAGTGGAAAGACTAAAAGACAAGTGATCTTTTTTTCCAAGTTTTTGTATTTCCAAATAGTGTTTAATGAGCAACTAGGACTTCTATCATGGACCTCCCCCCACCCCCCAGACTATTTTGTTAACATTCCTGATGCAGCTCTATTCTGTATGTGTTTTGCAGGTGGAGGATGCCATGCTGATGTTCGATAAGACCACCAACAGGCACAGAGGTAAGACCCCCAGTGTATGAGGGTTGCCCCTCTCACCTCAGTCCCCCAGACAGAAGGTACAGTGACTATTCCAGAATGTAGCAGATGGAGTCCACCATCTGTTGAAGATCGGTATGAATGGAGGGCGACAAAGAGGCCAGAGACTAGCTAGACAGTGCAGACACCCAGTTCCTTTTGGCTCGGGCGCTGTCACTGCATTGTGCAGCCACACCCAACGTCCTTCAGACATACCTCTCATCCTGGCTTGCTCAGTCCTCGCCGAACCTCAGCACCAAGTGATCCGAGTGGAAATCATTCACAGTAATTACTCAATTGAGTTTCCCATTTGCATTGGAGGAGGTGGTTTGGAGCACACTGTCAATCTAAAGAGCCAAAAAGAGAGAAAAGCCTGGCAGGCCGGTGTGATGTAGGAGCCGCACAGACCAGGAGATGCCCTTGCATTTCCTCTTATGCTCTCACTGCCCCACCCACGTCCCAGGAAATGGGTCTCCACCTGGGGTCTGGGAGCCCTGGGAACACCACACAGAATGTTTGATGTGTGCGCTTTTCTTGGGAGGGTATCCCGAGCTTTGGACAGATTCTCAAAGGGGTCTCTGACCTCCATTTCCCGCAAAAGAACATGTTAAAATTATTGCTTTAAACAGAAAATTGGAGGGAGCTAAAAAAATCCACCCCAGAGGAAGTAGGGTCAAAGGTTATGGTTCAGCATTCTATTCCGGTGTCCGGGGGTTCCTATTAACAGGGCGTTTATTAACAGGGTGTTAATGAGCAGAGCTTCTGAAAGGGCGGTGGCAGGAAGCAGGAAGCCGCACTCTTGAGAGGAGCTGGAGTGAGCGAGTGGTGTTTCCTTGCCACTTGGATTGCATTTAGATGTTTCTTGTGTTGTTTACACTCTTGCTGTCACCTGTGATTAGAAGCAGTTACCCAGCTCTGACGGTCTGTCTCCTGTTCCGAGCAGGCAGGCTGAGTGAAAGGGAGGAAGGAGTGGGAATTGTCGCTGGCAGGGGTGGGAGCAGGAGGCGGTGTCCTGCGTGCACCGGGTAGTCGGCCTCTCATGCATCATCTGCAGCGTCCTCAAAAGGGAGAATGGAAAATTGGGCCGGAACTGGGGTGTCAGCGGCATGTATGTTGGGAAGAGCTGGGGAGGAGTCGGGGGTGAGGAGGAAGGGGAGGCAAGGAGAGAAAAGAAGAGCTTACAGGTGAACATGTCTGCCTCTGTCCCCTGCATTGCTCAGGAGTGAGAGCAAGAGAGTGACAGTGATGAGCAGGCCAGTTATCCTGCAGCAGTGTCCACACTGCGTCTGTCCGTGTGGCTTCCACGGGCATTGTCTCTTTACATCTTCACAGCGGCCGCAGGAGGGTGGCTGTAATGCTGGGAAAGTCACTTAACTTCTTCATGTCTCAGTTTGCTCATCTGCAAAATGGGGATGATACTAGTACTTCCTAAGGTATTGTTCATTGTCACCTGTGCCTCAATGTTAGCTCTTCTTATTATATTAACATCTTCTCCGTTTTGTTGAGAAAACCAAAGCTCAGAGGGGTAACTGCCACTCCCAAGGTCAGAGCAGGCACTCAAACCGAGGACCGCCGCTTTCACATTCCCCTCTTTCTCTGTTGTCTCCACATGGGGATGGGTTTGTTAAGAATGTTTTTGTGTGTTTATATCCAGAGTGGGTGAGACCCCTCTGAACATGGCACTCGTCTGGGGTTCAGTGTTAGGATTTGTAATCCTGGGAGATTCCCAGCGGCTTCCAGGCAGTGTTGTTGTCCTTCTTTGAATGTCAATGAATGAAAAGGTATTTTTAATCTTCTGCTCTGGGTCAGGCCCGGGACTAGAGGAGATGATCAGTCTCTCATTTCACCCTCAAAGATGTGCAGGGAATGAGGTTTGTCCTCTGAGGAGTGCAGTGACTCTCAGTGGCCAGAAACTCGGGACATCGGGCTCCCGGGGGCCAGGAAATGTTCTCTCTTACTTCTGACTCGTGCTGTGGGCATCCCTGGGTGCAGCGATGGGGTAGTGGCCCCTCTGTGACTGGGTGAGGGAGGCGTGTCCTGTTGTGCGGTGGAGGAAGCCCCAATCCACGGCCCAGTGCTCAGAGCAGGCCCTCCCAAGTCAGGACTTCTGGTGGCCGTGGGCGGGTAGAGGCCCTGGAGCATGTATGGTCCTGCCTCAGCCGAGCAGGCCCTGCCCTGCCTCCTTCTGCCCTGCCAGAGTCTCCAATTCCCATGGGAGATGCAAGACACCCCCCCTTACATCGCTAATGGAGCCAGAACAAGATGACAGGTGGGGTGTCTTAGTCAACAGTTACTAAGAATTTCAAGATGACAGCAGAGCATTCAACCCAAAATGGAGCCCTTCTGAGCAGGGGGGCGCGTGTGAGTGCACAGATCGCCCACCCGTGAATGCATCGGGGGCGCCCAGCCTGATGCTGGGGGGATGGGAGAGGAGAGGCAGGAGGGAGGTGTGCCCAGAAGTGTCACCAGGAAGGCCCTGACGCGCTGCCGCGGCGGAAGCCTGCTCCCCAGTTCCTCTGGGTGAGTGGGGGCTTGGCCCCTCCCCCTTCCCCAGCCCCTCCACAGCTAGGAGGAGTTTCTCCTTGAACTGGGGGCTGAAGCTGGGGTGATACTTCAGTGATTCGGAGCAGTTAGAGGAGGAAAGAAACTAATTATGTGTATGGATCCGGGCAGGGGGGGCGGGGGGCGGCCAACCCTGGCCTGATGGAATGTGCATTGGAATCAGGTGATAAGCACAAGAAAATAAAATCCTCTGCAGCCACCTTGCCCAACCTTCCCTTCACCTCCTCAGCTTCCTGGTTGCCATGATCTTATCAAGAGGAAAATGCTGCAGCAGCAGAAGCCGAGGACACCTCCCAGACGGGTGCTGCCTCGGGCTCGCTTCTTAAAGAGCCCGGCCATGAGTCTCTCCGGTCATCCCAGCACTGGCTCAGCCCACATCCAACTTCTAACCGGACCTGCCTGCCGGGCAGCCTGGGGCGTTGGCTCGTCCTGAACCCCAGGCATTCTGAAAACCTGTGTCCTTGGAGCTGTGGCAGCTGCTCTCAGGGAAACGACCAGGGCCTGGGCCTGGCCTTGGTCGGGTGCAGCCGGCCACATGCCATTATGAGACAGAGGTCAGGGCAGAATTTCCACTCCTTGCCCCACAGTGGCCCCCTCCTGCCCGTGTTCCCTGCCAGTCTTTAGGGACGAGGGTGGCCCTCAGTTACATTGGCACAGCAGTTTCTTCTGTTCCCATATTACATCTGCACTTGGACCTGCTGGCGCCATGGGAAAGGATTCAGGGGACAGGAGACAGTGAGCTCCCCCCCCCCCCCCCCGG